AGATTATATAGAATATTATTCTAATACAAAAGATTAATCTCACATTGAAAATTGAACTCTCAATCACTTGTTTAAGGAATGAGATAGCCCCACACTCATATTATTGAATTGTATGAATCTATTTATTTTCTTTATTGTGTACTCCCTCTATCTTAAATTATAAGATATTTTATAAAGAAATTTGACATCTCAAAATATTAGAGACTTTGATAAAATTAATATTTCATTAATAGGCTTATTCTAATATTACTCTTTCTTTTTTTCTATTTAATTATCATCCCTCTGTCTTTTCAATATATTAAATTAAGGATATATTTAAATGTTTATATTTTTATTTTTAAAAATAAGATTGTTAAATATATTTAATAAAGTTTATTGGTATATAAAATTTTATTTAAAAGCATCTTATAATAGGGACTATATCCCAAACTATAAGACATTTTTAACCATCTCATCAGAAGTCAGAACAAAGAAAAAAATGTTAAATCATTAATTTTTTTTGAAAATATAATAATTTTTTTATTTTATTCATATTTAAATGAAATATTTTTAAATTTGTATTATATTCCCTCTTATATAGTTAATGAGTTTAAATAGGAGTAATATTAAAAAAAATATAATTAATACATCATCAAGTGTTTTATATGAAAAATTAAATAAATTCTTCTAAAAGATGCCCTATTAAGTAGAGGAGGGAATATAATATATATGTGTGTATATATATATATATATATATTGTGTGTGTGTGTGTGTGTTCAATTTTATGTTGTTTGTTCCGACCAAGAGTTATCTATGTTATGTGTATCACTAATTCTAAACGTTAATTACTTTCAAAAGAATTTAACACTTTAAAAAAGAAACTAAGAAGAATTTATCTTTAACTTCAATTATCATAATTGATCTCTCCATCTCACAAGCACACCAACACTATTAATGAATAATATCAATCAAGTTGGATCATTATTTAAAAGATCACTTTAAAAACAAAGTGATGTCATGCTAAACCAATATATTTAAAATCTTCATGCATCCATACGAAACAGAATCTAGTTTTCTCACCTAGTTTTCAAAGCATTTGATATATTTGGCACATTCCAATCATATGACGGGAAAAAAAACACACACACACACACACACTCTCTCTCTCTCTCTCTACAATTATCCAATATCTTATACTTATAGGCTAGATTTGAGTATTAGCAGGTTAAATTAAAATTATTTTTCAGCTGTTAACATGAGTTTTTTTTCATTTATATTGCTACTTAAAAAGAATAAAGTCCATCTTCGGTAAACCCAACTATTGTTGTTGTTGTTATGTCTCTCTTTTTTGTTTGAGCATGAAGTATATTCCCTCAAAGGTTTCGGTGCTAAAGAAAAGAGAACGAAGAATAATTCACTTTGCTAATTATGGAGGTAACGTTCTTTGATGTGCCTCCATTGTGCAATCATTTTCATATGCCAACTCATATTCTCGATTTATGTGTGATTATTGTTAATTGACATTAAATTAGAAATATTGCATGGTAACCGCACTCTCAAAATTTGAGGTTTTAAATTATGACATAATCCCTCTACTATCTTTATCTTTATAGAGTAAAAATAAAAAAAATTAATCTTATTTATAAGGTTTGTCATTGACTTTTTATTATAAATTTTCTTTTACCCTCATTAAATATTGATGAAAAGAGGTACGTTACTGAAGTAAGGGAATCAGGGTAAAAACTTTTTAAATTTTTAAAAAGGGTTAATTTCTTTTATCCTGTTGGTGAAAAAAAAAGTAAATTATTAAATATATGAATGAAGTTGGAAACTTTTAAAATTTTTAAAGAGTTAATAAGTTTTAATTTTTTTAATTTTAATAAAATATATTAGAAGTAAATTATAATTATAAATAGGACTAAAAAGAGTCCTTTTATCCTAATTATAGTAAAAAATTAAATAATTTTACAATTTCTAAAGAATGGTAGTTGATATCTTAAACTTATAAAAATATATGTGACTTTTTAATTTTGTCTTTCACTAAAAATTAATCACCATAGTAAAATATTGTATAAAAATTAATTAATTTGTTGCAATTAAGAAGGGGGATTAATTAATGACAAAATAGGGTGAGAACAAGAAGGATTAATTATTACATCTGAAATAGTAATTCATTTATTCTCTAAAATCCAAATTAATTGTTCAAACAATTATAATAAAGTATAATAATATTATTCAGTAAAATTGATAAAATTACACATTAAGAAGATTATTTGTATAAATAACTCAAAATTTGAGTTTACATATAATTTAATCTTTTGTAAACACATAAGTCAATAAAAGTAAACATCCGCCAATTAACTATTGAAAGACTATTTAAATTTAATTTGAAAATGTTATAAAAGTGGAAAGTATTATTTAATTATTTCTACAGTTTCACTAAATAATTTATACTTTTCAAGGTGAGCTTGACAAATCAATCAAGTTATATGTCCAAAATCTCAGGAAAAAAATATTGTAAAGTCTGAATCTGCCTCCCCTTTTTATCCTCAAAGTCACAATTATCCTATCTTTAATTTTTTGTCTTGATGCATAAACAGTAAATAAGCCAAATTATGCCATGACCCACTTAATTAGTCCTTTCAGATTCCTTCAATTTTCTTTCTGGACCTATGATTTCATCTTTATATGAAAAATTTCAAACAAAAATTTGCTTTTAGTTCATGAAATAACATTTCGGGATCAACCCGCCAATTTAATTATGATTTAGGGCCATAACATTTTACAATTACAATAAAGGACAAAAAGTCCTTGTTAATTAGATACACACAATAAAGTTACTCAAGTATCCTTCGCTCTAAGAGGCTAAAATGCTTCATATTAAAAGCTGGCAGAACAGTTGGAAATTAATCATAAACAGTAAGAAATTACGGAAAATGAAAATTGAATATCTACTACATGCATCAATAATTAAAGATTAAATAAGGTTTTTCAAAATTTCTAAAATTTGACACTAAAATGTAAAATATTTTGCAGTTGATGTTTTTATTTTTAACACAGAATATTGGAGAAAAGCATGTTTAAATTAAATTAAAATTGAATGTTTGATGAAAAAAATAAAAATAAAAAATTTAAACCATTCAACTCAAATTTAGATAGTTTAAATCTACTATTAGAGAAACAACACCACCATACTACTATTTATCTAGTAATTGTTGGACGAGATAGCATTAAAAGGAAGAAAAACACATTTTGGTCCGACAGTTCTAAAGAGACACATATAAATAGACATAATATTATATTTTAACCCAAAATCTTGAAGCAATAAATGTGTAGGTCCTTTTTTTTAATATACTTCTTCTCTAATCTAAATTCTATCATATGCAAGATCTTTTTCCACACAAAACCAGATCAACTCAAACTTGACTTCTCAATAATAATCGATAAACTAGGTTTGCAGTTGAATGCAACGCTTGACAATTTCACTGCAACAGTTGACCTATCGAATACCAAATTCTAATACAGGACACTGCTATAGAGTGCTTGTAAAAATGTAAATTATAACTTGTTAAAGTTCAAATTAGAAGTTATTGACAAAACTCTTATGACCCCTCCAACATGGCAACTTATTAAAATGTGAACTACACCCTCTAATTCTATTTATAAAACAGAAATAATTTTTGATTTAAAATATAAGACACTTTTCAATAATTAAACTATTTTTTTAATTTTTTTTATTAGCGTCAAAATATTTAATGTAGTTGTATTATTATTTAAATTCAAGGATAAAAATAAAAGCACATATCATTTTTTTTATAATACAAGAAAACAACTAACTTTTTTAAAATACATCAAACACTTAAAAATATTTTATAATAAAAATCAGAGAGAGTATTTGTCAAAATATGAACTACAATATGTTGAAGCTCCGGTAGCCACCAATGATGAATTGACCGTCAGCACTGCCAATGACAAGGCTCCAGCAGCCGAATCAACGTTGGAATTCTGGCAATGGCAATGGCAATAGCGGAGTGTTCCTTTTCTAGTAACCAAATAGTAACCGTTTTCATGCGTAAACGTATTTTCAATTTGATCCTTAATTCTTGAAAAGTAATTTTAGAATGTATTGATCCTTTAGGCTTGTTTTGGTTGGAGAGTGAAGTGGGATGAAATTATTATTTTTGGAATTTTTTTTTTTTGAAAAAAATGATAGTTAGATCCCAAAATAAAGATTAATTCAAACAGTTACACAACAATTTTGTTATGATTTAACAGTTACATTTTATATTTAATTGCAATAATTTGGATCGACATTTTCAACTTACTTTTCAAAAAAATTTGCCGAGCACTTAACTGTTATTAATTCATTATTTTAAAATTTAACTGTCATTTTTTAAATTTTTTTTCCTAATTTTCTTTCTTCTCCATTTTTCTCTCAATCCAACCAAAGTTAGATGCTCTTACAATTAATTTTAATGTATATTGACTAGGATCATGCTAAGATAAAAAAAAAAATAAAATGACTTGAAACAATGATGACTTTGTAAATTTTATTTTATCATCTTGGTAAAAGACTTTATAAATTTTAGATTAAAATATCCCGAACAACAATTTTCAATAATTACAATTATTATCAGATTTTGGAGGAAAAAAAAACATTTTAGTTTTAGAAAAGATATTGTCATCATACACGCTTTTGAATAATTACATACCTACTAATGTAATTACATATAAATTATTACATACATATTCAATAGCGGATGTCATACACACACCTCTAATTTAAGGCAAAAAAACAAATTAATTTTCATCCCATTTATAAAACACTTCACTATTTTTTATTTATATTTATCTTTTTACCCTTATCAAATGCTAAAAAAATTACAAAAAATAATTCTTTCAATTTTTGTTAAAAGTAAAGATAACTTATTAAATATTAAAATAAAGTTAATAAAATTTAAAATTTTCTTTAATTTTCGCAAAGCACATTAAATAAAAGTGACCTGTAAAATAGAAGAAAATGAAATAAACCAAATACTTGAATTACGATAACACAGCCTGCCAAAAATAAAATGTCAGAAACATTAAATGATTTGTTAGGAGGCACTATGCATTACGAAGATTAGCGAAACAAAGGACGAGCCTCAAGCATTCTCAAATCGATGATGTGACCTACAATGCTATAATTGCCGTACTCTACTTTTCCTATATCTACATTTGAAAGTCTCCTTTATTATACAGCCACGACACAAAATAAGCAAAACAGTTTAATTTATACACTACCGAGTACCGCCTTGAATCCCCTCATTACGACCATTATCAGGCAGAGATGAAGAGGAAGCAACCTCCTTGTCTTTGCTAATTGATGATGACGACTTGCCCTCATTTACATTTGCGTTCTGCAGAATCTGGAGCTGATTTTGCAGAATCTGTTTTGATTTTACCCCCCCAAAAAAAAAACACAGATTAATTTCATGAATAACTATAACAGGGATGGATTTCAATCTTCATTCACGGATTTAATTCAATACACAAGAGTTAAACTTCCACGTTAGAGACTAAGGTATACTTTCAAATATTATGTACATGGGACACATCTGTTTCCGAAACCTCTTCAATTTTCACAAACCCTGAATAAAAAAATGCAGGCATTTACCAACATGCCATCTAGAATCATGCTTCATGGTTTATATCTAATATATCCTGGAATGCCATCCACTAATTTTATATGTGCATGTGACATGACACATGCTTATAGAAGACTGATTGCGAGAAAGTAGTCATAATATCAGCGATGTTACGACTAGAGAGATGTGGCTGAGAAAAGCAACAGTGTAAATACTCATTTGGTGGCAAACATAATTACCAAACTTGACCACTCTACAGAAGTACAATGAGATTACAATGGCAGGGTAGTGATAAACAAGTTACCATTGAAGAAGTTCAGTGCAACTGTACCTCAATCTGGTATTGAATTGTTCTTTGAGCTTCCAGAAGAGAGTTTGGCCCATTCGGATCAGATCCAGATCCCTCTCCGTTTGCTACATGTGTTAGAGAAGGAGGGATAAGAAACGGTCCCATTGGATGAAAGGAAACATTCATTGGTCCACCAGGGATGACAAATTGTCGTTGTGTTTGTTCACATGAAGTATGTTCTCCATTAAGCTCTGTATTAGTAGATTCAGCGGCAGGCCTATGAACAGGAGGATATACAGTATATCCAGGGGCGCTGCAAAATAGAGAACAAACCCTATCAATTAATCAATTAAATAGTTTAACAGGCTGTAGCCTGTAGGCAATTGAAGTTATCAATTTTATAGTGCACTTAAACATGAGTTGGACCTGGAAATTGATTGTTGCCTAGTTAATCAAATTCACTCACATTTTACTGAACAGATTTGGATACAAGTACTGAATTTAAAGACAGTTTGAATTTTGAGAAAATAGAAGACTCGAAATTGCAAAGCTGGTCCTTTTAACCTTCAAATCCAAAGAAATTTTTTTATCATCAAAGAATTAAAACTTAACTAGCTTCTATTCATGCTTTTGCAGGTGAAGCATGGGTTAAGGATTTCAAAATTCAAAATATTTCTTTCTTTTTTTTAAATAAATATGGAACGTATATTAACCAAACTAATAGAAGACATTACAAACTAATGAATACAAAGAGCAACTCTCCTATCATCATTCACCTTTTGATAAAGAGGTGGAGAATGATCATAGGTACAAAAATCAACACTAATCCAGTAAACCTATGAAATAATTGTGCTAATAAGTGAGCACAAATGTTTGCTTCCCTGTATACGAAATCAAAAAAACAGTCCAATCTCTTCCAAGGAAGAGTCTAGCAATTTCAATAACACCACCAAACAGATGGTTTTGATTGCCAATCCTGGTAACCATATTAATAGCTTCAGTACTGTCACAGAAAACTTCCACATACGTAACCAGTGTTCAAGCTTCTTTTCGAAAATACTAGAATGCTTAAGATTAGATCTGGAAAAAGAGAGAAAATTTTGAAAAATTAGACGTTTGTCTCAGATTCAACCAAAAGCTCATGTGCCATCTTTGCAAACATACGAGAGTGTTGCCTCAGTTAGTTACTCCTTTATAACAGATTAATAGAGTATACCAAGTGTATATAAATATATAATATATTCCTTTTGCAGCACCTGCTAATTTTTTTTTTTTTCAACAAGAACAACCCAGGCACACAATGTGTTTTCAGTTAAATTCATTGTTTCTGAATCAGTCTGTTTTAAGGATATATATATATATATATATATAAAAAGAAAGGTGGAGGGCAAATCACTGATATTTAAATTGGGTGAAAGGAAAAAAGAGATATTGCCATACCATGCTAAAGAAGTTGCAGATGGTGATGGGTACACAAAAGACTTCTCATACATTGCAGCAGCAGCAGCAGCAGCTTGGAGTCTAGCTTGATGACGACTCAAATTATCAGTAGCCACCCCACTGCCACCTTCAGCTTGAGATGAGTTTCCAGTATTAGTTCCTGTTCCTGTTCCAAGTTATAATAATCCAGCCTCAATCAAGTTCAGTGCTATCCAAAGCTGCAATCTTTACTCCATTCATGTTATTTTATAATTTCCTAAATATTTAAACAGGTAGTGTTAAACTCAAAATGATACCACGTTAAACAAAAAGTAAGAAAACATGACTGTCCCAAGAAAAGAGAAAACATGGTTTTAAGAGTTGAATAAATTATTTCAATCTTCAACAGACACAATACACCATTTTATAACTCAGTATAGAAATATAAAAGAAAATGGGACAGAAATGATCCCAGTCTTTAAAAAAAGTCTGTATAGTAAAAAATTTCTAAACTGAAATGCTTTAAAAAGGATAATGTTTGGTTCTTGTATGGAAGGGGCGTATCCAAAGAGGACTAATCTGCCGATATCAAACTATATGACCTTCACTTTTCGCATTTTCCATTTTAGTTACTAAAGGCATTATTTCCTCAGAAATAGTATAATTTCAATTTTGGCATAGTGAATATGCTAACAAACTACGCATAGAGTATCTGTTCTCATATGGTTACCCTGTCGATCTGACTGTGATCCATGCTGCCCTCCAGCAGTAGTTGCCCCATTTTCAGGTGGTACAACCAAGGCTCTACAGGTAGGGCAAGTATGTTGTCGCTCCAACCATGATCGGAGGCAATGCACATGAAAAAGATGTCCACATATAAGTTTCTTGGCTGTAGTCATCTCTTCACGACAGATAATACATGTAGCATCACTTCTGCATACCCATTTAAAAAAATCAATACTATTGTATAAGCTTAACTACAAAACTAACAAGTGTTAGTAACATTTTAAAAACTAACGCGTTAAGCTCTTCAGGGGTTGCATCTGGAAACCGATCATTCATATTTGAAGTAATCTTACGATAGCGAATGTAGTCAGCAACACGAACTTTGAAGTTCCTAAATGTCTCATACAGCTCCCGTATTAAGTGTAAAGGCACACCATAATTTCTACCAAAGCCAGTTTAAGGTTAGCACTTTGTAGGTAACAAATAGCTTGTGAAGACTAAACATACAATCAAATCAAAACAAAAACAGGACAAGCAAGTAAACCAAAAGCTAGACAAGCTATTTTAAAATAACATTCACTACTAAAGAACAATAGAAGAAAACAGTAGGTGACGGGTGACCATAACCTTATATAATATCTCTGAACAAATGATAAAGCAGTAAGATAAAAGCCAAGTTCCATGACAAACACAGCAACCATTAGTTTAACTAACATTATAATTAGCTAAATAATTTAGAAGGACCTTCCCTTGGTTAATGTTCAAAGTATCTGAAAAGGAGATGACATATACCAGTTACTAGAGATTAGGGGAGCGCCAATAAGGAAGTTACCATTAGAGAAAATCTCAGTGCCATTGCAACTCAATCTGGAACTTACTATTTTAAAGGATTGATTTCTATCAGCTTTGTAAAAAACTAAATATGTTTCTCTCACCCATTAATTTCCAAATAATAATTTACAGAGGGCCTGTGCTGCACAAAAAACTCCAGCAGCTAGTTTGTCTGATTTCAGACATAATATACCTTCAAAGTGCAATTCTTGAACCAACATTCATGTTTGTAAACCAAAACGCTAACATCAATTCCAGCCTCAAATATTTTAAATTGCATCTTCCTCCATGTAAACACTCTAGGAAGATTCATGAGGGCTACAATGCATATGCAAAATAAGAGTAGACTGATCACTCACATGAAAATCACAAGGAAGAAACACATATACATAGACAAGTGAAGCAAATCCCTGATGAGTTCCAAGTAGAATGTGAAGACTGGTTTCCTTTCCCATTGTCCTTCCATAAGCATGTCGCTAACGTAGAAAAGATATTTTACAAAAATTGACACTGTTGTTGTTGCCAGTATCATGTACCTGAGATAGAAATAGATAGTGTCAAAGACAAATCCCCAAGAAATAGATAGAAATAAACAGAAATGTTCAACCACATGTTAGGATAAATAGATTCCTAGTAGGTGAAGTGATTCACATGTATATGTATATAGGCATTTTATAATTTTTTTAATGTAATTTAATTATTTAATATAAGATCCACAAAGACACATAACTTGATTAATTTATAGGAATAATAACAACATGCAGCAATTTAAAAATCATGATTTATCTGATCATCAAGTATTTTATCATTATTTGATAAGGTAATAATAACAATTAACAACTTAAACTTCATAGCCCAATAAAATAATCAATGTAAACTTATAATTTGTAATTAGAGTAAAATGGTTGACTTGTTTTGGTTGTACGATTATGGTATCCTTGGGCTGAAATGCATACAATCCAAGACTAAGGCTCACCTCCAGCGATAAAAAAGGAGCACCCTTAACATTGTCTTGGTGCATGTAAGAGAATAAATTCTCCTTGGTACTTGCCCCAGGGTTTGAAACCAAGTTGCTAAAAGTAAGGAGCATACCTCCAACTCCTTATCCACTAAGCCAACCACCATTGAGTTATGGTTGACCAGTTAACTCTATATGCTAGCAATTACTTTTTTTCCCAGAGCCAACCAACTATAATTTTATTATTGTAGATATATACTCCTCCCTTATAATTTGTTCTTTGCTATGCCAATATTTTCCCAGATAAAAAGGATCTTGATCAAAGAACATAAGAAGAAATTTATAACTTCTAGACATCAATAATCCTATAACCAAGGTCAATTAAAGATAATGATTGGTTGCTTACAGTAAAATGGCTTTTTATCAGACAAAGAATTTAAAAATTCAACAATATTGTAGATTTCTATATATTTAAAAGGACTAGCTGGACTTAAGAACAGCTAAAGATGGTATACTTTTTAATCTCCATACATCATTCTAATCTTGACACAACCAATGTAGATACAAAAACTTTAAAATTGACATAAAGTAAAGCATTTTTCAATTCAAATTAAGCATATGGCAACTGGCAACTAATTTAGGGAGAATACAGAGAGGAAGGCTTACTCAAAAGCAAAAAAGAGGGAAACTGAAGCCTGCCATGATAGTATCAAATGCTTCACGGAACTATATAAAAACAGTCCATCCAGAAGGAGGAGGAAACCCATAAAAGACACAATTCGAATGTGAGACAACAAGGGCACTGTAGGAGTGGTCTCAATATATTCAACTCTTTTCTGAGCCAACCAATGTAAAGCTTTGATCAACAACAGTGCTGTGACCATAGCAAGGAATGTAACAGAGAAATCCTGCCTAAAAATGGTGATGGCAAAAAGGATTTCCATAACCTCCCTCCATGATTGCTCATTAAGCCTCTCAACCTCTGCCTCTCGGAGTGTGCCAAGAAATACCTTCTTTGTTAATTGCCATAAAAGACACATAATGACCAGACCCATGTTGAGAAGAAGTACCAAGCTGATCTTGGAAGTTGACAGAAAAACCATTGCTGGATAAAATTGACCTCTGCTGTTGAATGCATGATACGCAACAGCGAGAGTTGCAATGAAACTAAGCCCCGCATACGACTGTAGCCTCATCATTTTTGCTATACACAGAGAAACAGCAACCATTCAATCAACATCTGGAAACCCATATGCATAAGAAGTCCTAACTCAACATAAAACGGTTACCTTCAAACTTTTTTCAAAAGCGTCAATATCCAAACGATTACACGACCAGATTCAAAGCCAAATTAAAATAAAAAAAATAAAAACAAAGTAAGAAACGGTGACGCCGTCCGACACTTGGGTTGACAACAACGCAGGGAACAGATGACGCGGGGAATAAGTTCAAATCTAGATTCAAAGACAGATTGAACTAATCATACTCGCTGGATTTTGGGGGTAGAGAGAGCCCTAAGGTTCCAATCTTCTTCAGTAGCCCGAGAACAACCACGCAGGGCTGACAACGGCGGACGGCGCCCGACGGCGAGCTCGACCAAGCGTGGATTGCCTGTTCGTGGACGAAGAGAAATGGATCCCTACTCCTTCGTCAAGTAAAAAAATTTATTTCATTACTTTATACTCTAAAATTGAAACAGATAAAATTTATCCTCCCTCTAACAAAAATTTTATGCTCTCTCCTCCGTCAAGAACAACTATGTCATTGATAGGTAAGCAACCAAAAATACAGAAACCGATAAGTAAAATGGCCCATTAAATTTGAAAAGAATAATAATGACGCCACATGAACGGTATAATCGATTGAACGACGCATTCAGATGTCCCGAGAAATATATCATACAAGAAACAAAACAGAAGGAGCAATCCGAATATTTCAACGAAAAGGACAGATGCTAGATCGGTATGTAAGGCTGAAATAAACTAAAAACTCAAATCCCGCGACCAGTTTTCTGCCAATGCATCCCAAGAGGATGAGCCCTAAACTAAGAAACAAATCACCGTGCAAGATCAATACAGCTGCAAAAATTGATGAATCAATTGTAAGAGGAAAATCCAAAATCTTCACATGAAAAGAATCCACACCTAACAACTCTTGAAATTGTCAGACAAACGTTGGTGATCAGCAACTTCGGCAACTCGCGTTCGGTCTCTCGGATTTTTGTTTCCAGCGAACTCAAAAATTGATGATGTATGCTTATCCAATGACAATCTGCCACATCATCTGTTGTTGCAATTGGCTTCGGTTCGGTGAGTCACACAATTAATTAACCATTAATAACCATCACTCCGAGTATTAAGTGAAATAAAATTATTGATTAAAAAAATAATAAAATGATAAATAAATGAAAATAGAGATTACTTTGTATGAAAAGAATTTCTAGACATTTTTAATTATTTTAAACATTTTAAAAAAGTTATTTTTTTAATACCATAAAAAAAGAGATACTCCTTCCATTCTTATATATAAAATATTTTTAATTGAATCTTACATATTAAAAAAAATTTATTATTTAGTTGAAATAATACTAAATCACAATAATTTTTAAATTTTGCATCTAATAATGTCAATTCATGTTATGAAGGTGATACATAAGGCATGTATATTAATACCTCTTTCTTTTTTTAAGACAAGGGCTAAATTATCCATTATTTAAAAATATCATGATGCCCTTTATATTTAATGACAAAATAAATTTTTAAAAAATATTATATAAATTGAGATAAAAGGAGTATACTTCTATTCTTATTCTTAACTTTAAATAATAATATAAAGGAGAATCTCATTCAAAGACTTTTCAAGAAAATTATTTATAAACAAGAACTAACAATAAATTCTATTAAAGAAAAAGCAACTCATGTTTCTATTTTAACAACAATCAATTATATATTAATCATTGTCTGTGGATAATTTTTTTGAGAGCTCATTGAATGTGATTCTCTCATAATATAATTACGTTAAATATCTTTTCACTAATCAAAAATTATTAAATTGAAAAAAGTGGTTTATATATTATAAAATGTCCTATATTATATAAAAAAATAGGAATATATAATAAATGTCTAGCATTCTCATTTTAAAAAACTTAATCCCAAATTAAATATTTTAGGATAACAAATAATAAATTTTCATCTATATCTTTATTAATTAATATATAATTTGAGTGATTAAAGCTGGAAATTAAAGTATGCTCAATGCATCAAGCTCATGCTTAAAAAGATTTGAGTTTTAAAAGGAAAAGTAGAAGGATTTATATATATCATTTTAATTTTAAAAGATTTTCATTTTTAGGTCTTTAAAAAAAACAATGTTATTAATCACAAGAGAATGCAACATCTAGCCTATACCTCAACTTACCAAAGAAAATAAAAAACCTAGAATACAACTAAAATAGTTGTCTTTACAACCTTGAAGCTTGGTGTTACAATGTTGCATCAATTTAGAGCCAATAATTTAAGTCAATCAAAATAAATTTGATAAAATTTAGAACCAAGCATTATAAAATATATTTTTAATATTGAGGCTTATTTAGACCAATCCAAAGAGGCTTAAAAAATTTTGAGTCAAACCTGATCGAATTTGGCTAAATACCCAGATAATACATTGATTTTTTTAAAATATATATAATGTTAATTATTAGTTAATCTTTTAAGTTTTAGTCGATTTTATATTGAGATATCATATATTTTAGTTTCAAAAAGTTTTGGGTCTTCTACATTTTTTAATTTTTATTTATTCCACATGTCATATTTTATATTTTTTGATAATAATAAAAAATTTAATTGTAAATTAAAAATTGACAATTTAAATATCCAGGTTGTGCCTCTCTGAATTCTGAAACTTGTTAACTCCAAGGTATAGTAATTAAAGCCTCTTTCTACTTTTTAAAACACTTATCATTGTCATGCTAAAAAAAAAATACTCCTTCCATCCCAAGTTATAGAACACTTTTAAATAATTTTTTGTTTCAAAATATAAAAAATTTTGGATAGATTAAAATTTTATTAAATGTATCAATTTTAATATTATCCTTTTTCTCTCTATGATAAATTTTTGTCCCTTCTCTTTTCAATATATTAAATGATGGCATTTTTAAAAATTTATATTTTTGTTTTGAAAAAATCAAGTTGTTAAGTGTATTTAATAAAGTTTATTGATATGTAAGATTTTGTTTAAAAGTGTCTTATAATTTGAGATGGAGAGAGTATATACCATGATATAAAAAAAAAAAAGACAAACCATTCATTTGGACACATCCCTTTACTCTGGCTAATGCTAAAATGTTTGCCGATTTTTACCTTGGCAACACACCAAAGAAAAAAAGGTTAAGGGTTATTTTTGCTTTTCAATTTTACTTGGAGGATCATTTGACATTTTAAACTCAATTATGGGTCAATTGTTTTTCTCCAAGTTAAAATTCTTTTTCTTATCATCCAGATGTTAAAAATGTCTAACGTCCATTTGTCGTCAATAGTTGCCATCATTTTTTATTATTTTTTAATGAGTTAATGATTTTTTTTGCTGCTCAACTTTTACCCAAAAGATTTGTGGACACCCTCAACTCAAATATTTTGTGATAAAAAATATTTAAAAAATATAATATGAAGTTTACTAACAATAAAGAGATGGTGAGAAAATGAGATGATGACAATAAAGGAAATCTTTAACAATGAGGGACAAAATTTATTCATAATTAAATTTAAGGTATCCAATGATCTTTCGAGTTAAGTTAAGGGAAAAAAATAACTTTTAATGCAAGAAAAAACCTAAGTCACTTGCTGAATTTCTGTAGGTCAGAAAGCTTATGCAATAAATTAGCACATTTCCGATCACCATATACACCCAATCCAGCCATAATTTTGAACAACTCTTCACGATCCATTTTCACAGCCACCTTCATTCCCACGATTTTTTGTTTATTTCACTCAATTTTAGATGTTTAATGTATATAAATGATTTCAAATATTTAACAATATTAGATCTAATGTCCTCATAAAACACACACACACACATATAGATACTATATATGTGTATGTGTGTGGTACCCTTAAATTTTATAATTTCTGGATCCGTAACTCTAACATTAATTTCATTTTAAGTTCATATCACAACATTTACATTTGCTAAAATATTTCAAAAAAAATAAGAAATACTCCCCTTCTTAAAAATGTAAAATATTTTTAACCGAATCTCGCCCCAAATAAAGTAGTTACTTAATTTCAAACTAATCCTATCTTTTTATATTTATTTCTATTAAATATCATACAATAAATATAAAGTCATGATTAATAGGAGCACTTTAAAAAAAATAATTACACCTCGAAAGATTAAAAATGCCCAACATTTTTAAACATTCAACTTTTTTTAAAAATGTCTTATATTTTTAAATAGAGAAAATATATATGAGACCCATCAATGGATCAACTAGACCCGCCAAATACTAGAGTTTTTATATTCATGTGTATATTAATCTATTGACATTTAAATTATTAATTTTTTAATTTAAAAAATATTTGACTGTTTTGAAAAAATTGTTTTGAATAAAAATTGTGTTTAAAATTCGACTACATGCAAACTAAAATTAATTAATTAACTAGTCTTATTTTAACGTGATTAAAATTATTATGTCACATAAAACGCTCTTTTATAAATATTTAGATTTAGATATTTTGATATAAATTATAGAAATTTTCACCTAAACGGGGTAAAAACATTAACATTCTTAACCTTTTTTTATCACAAACTTTTTTACTTTTATTTTTTAACTATCTTACTAAGAGAAGTTGCCAAATCATTTTTTTAAAAAAATTATTCACAATTTTACTGTTATTATTATCTTACACCAGATGCTACATGAGGGGTTAAGTATTTTTTTTTTTTAAACATGACATGTTAAAGATAACTAAAAAATAATATTAGAGGAGTCCATTGTAAAAAAATAAAATAAAAGGTTTGGTATGTTACTTTTATATTTTTACGAGGGTGAGGAATTCCATGCAACTTGCTAAAGTTTTGTACTACATTTATTAAAAAATGTAAGGTATTTTTTAAGAAGTTAAATGTTAAAAAATGTAAGGTATTTTTTGAGGAATTAGATGTTAAAATGTAAGATATTTTTAGTCTTTTAAAGTGTAATCATTGCCTTTTTTTTAAAAGTGTTTATTGATAATGATTTTATATTTATTATATGGTGTTGAATAGAGATAAATATGAAAATATAGAGTTAACTAAAAGTAGATAATTATTTTATTAGAAATGAGATTCGATTAAAAATGCCTTATATTTTTAAACGAAAAAAGTATATTTTAATTTTTTGTTTGTTAAGATACATTTTCACCTTTTAACTTTATCAAAAGGTCACGAACACTATAAATTTAATTGTGTTAATTTAGTTTTGTTAATTTTATCTTTTAACGTTAAAATTTTTTCTCATTATTTTATCATTAACTCATAGTTTTCATTATTACTAGTAGGGTTCACATTATATTTTTAATATTTTTTATTATAAAATACATGTTTAAGCATCATTTTTCCTCTTAATTTTACACTGAAGAGTCCAAGCACCTTAAATTTAAATATTTTATAATAAAAAATTGTAACATAGTGCATAATGTTGAATAGATGGTAAATTTTAATATTGAGAGATAAAATTAATTTGTAATTAAGTTTAAAGTGTTTAATAATTTTTTAGGTAAAATTGAGAAATTAAAGACCTTTAACCCTTCTTGTTTTCCCCTTAAAATGTTTCGGAATGTAGATCTTTTTTTTTCTTTCTGAAAGAAGATCGAAAATGAAAAACTAACACCATTCCTAATCTATGATATATTCCCAGTCGATGAAGTAGTTAATGCAACACAAAAAAATAAAATAAAAATAAAAATGGAAGCCATGAGCCCATAACAAATCACCCAAAGAAGCCAGCTGAAACCTCACGAAACCAGTAGTGAGAAGAGAGGGAAGGGACGACGAGAAATGGCGTCGGTAGTGAAGAGCGTGATCAACTCGATCAGAGAAAAGGGATTCAGTGCCTTCCTTAGAACCCTCAAGGAAGAAGGCTACTTGTAAGTTTTTTTTTTTCCTTTTGTTTTTGCGAGTTGATATCCGAATTTGTTTCGTTGCATCAGAAATCGCCGGCAAATTCTGCAAAGAAAAAATGTCTGATTCCAAGAATTTGGGGCTTAATTGAAAAAGTCTTTGGTATGGTA